TGATCCTTTTGTGGATTGTCCTTCCAGTCTTTCATATGTATTTTTGTGTGCATAATCCTTACAGTTTATGCTGTAAACTACCTTTTGTTGAAGATATGAAACGTCTGAGAATGCTCCAAAGATCACGTTCTGACGCTAGAAATTATGATAAATACTATAGCAGAGGACTTAGGACAGGATGCGTCAAACTAAGTCGCCCTGACAACACGACTAAATTGTGAAAACGAGGTCAACCGACCTCTGCATTTTGTTGCTTTCCGAATGTTGTGTGGGCAAAGTATTAGAGAGTTGTCTTCTCCTTCAGGATTGTACGAATGTTCCGTTTCATTAGTAGCGGCCGCAGCTTTAAAGCCAGTTCGCAGTGGGGTAGCATATCAAACGTTTCCCCTCAGTTTCCTTTGTGTTTCTTTCGTAATCCTCATCCTGCCATCTGCTACTCATGATTCGTATATTGCATAGTATTGCTTTTTCTGGATCACCGTTTCCAGGACATATTCAAGTTGGTTTGTCCTATATTTTTTCCCAGAACCCAGAATCGGTGAGTGGTAGGCTGCATATGAACATAGTCCCAAGTATTCCCATTTTCATTCTAAAAGTATGGCAAGAATGGAAGTTAAGGATCACTACTGTGTGATTTCTTTCAGAACACCCATTTCTTGAGAGTCTCCTCAGAGCAAATTACCTCCCTCTTTCACATCCATCGCAAATTTGACTTTTTCATCCATTCCATTTAAGGAGATTAGGAACTCGTCATATTTCTATTTTCTATACGACCAGGGCGCAAAGTAATCATCCATATATCGCATAATTATCGTTAACTGATCAGGTAAAGTCCTACAATTGTCCTACAGTTTGTTCATGCAAGAATCAGCCAACAGAAAAGAATGGTGAGCACACGGGCAGACCAAATATTTGTTCATGGATCAAGTCGTTGAATATGAAGTAGGTAATTCTTATTGTTAGGCTGGTTAAATAGGTTATAGACTTTTCAGATTCGCTCCGTCTCCAAAATGTCATCCTCTACAAGATCTCCAGTAGTGCCGGGAGCAACTTTTCTCCTTAGATGTTGGTGTACATGGACTGTACATAAAAGCTCATCAATAGTTCCCAGTCTTCAAAATTGGTGCCTTTAATTCTTGGGCAAAATTCGTATGAATTCTTTACTGTATTTGATAGCCTGTCGTTCACCTTATTTAATCTGAGACAAACAAATCTCACCAGTTTATTTGTTGCTCCGTGTTTGTTGTTCACTATCAATCTCAATGGTTCTCTTTCTTTGTGTACTTTCGGAAAAACGTATGCTACTGGAGCTCTTGTGTACTTTCCCAGGAGTAAATTCATTATCCATTTGTCGATTTCCCCGTTCATATTCATTTCCTTCAGCCTTTCTTGCAGTGCCCCTATGATTTTAACTTTTGGGTCTTTTGTTAGCAGTCGATAAATTATGGTGTCCGGACAATATTTTCCATTTTCTCTACATATTCCTTTATGTCCATCATTACCGTGGCACTTGTGGAACTATTTGTCCACTGCTTTGTAATCTTGGTTATCATGCCACTATTCGTGGATTCTTAATGCGCCATTTCCAGCTCCCTTCAATTATTCTGATAGCTTCTGAAAGCGATTATAACCACTTAAATGTCCTTGATTGCCTATCTTAACTCGAAAGTACAAAATTCAATCCATTTTTGGGGGTCGACGTGGTTTCGAGACCACAAGGGACGAAAGATAAATTCACTACTTTATCTTCACCACTTGTATGCGAGATTGGTCATTTTGTAGACATCTGCGTTTTGCCTGGGTGATTTGAGCATGGGCTGCCTACATACCCCATAGTTATTCAGCTTTATCTGATGCCTTCTTTCCATTAAGTCGAGATGCTTTTCGACATTCTGTCTGTAGTTTTCGTAAACCCTTCGGAGTGAGAATCAGAAGGGTTCTCCTTATCATGTCTAATATAATTTTTTCAGAAAAGCATATATATATCATTTAGCTTGTCGGAATGATATTTTCTCATTTAATTGCAAAAAAATGAGAGGGATGTCATAACGTTTAAAATAATTAATAAATTCAAAACATGATATGGTAAATAGCTAGGCTTCCTTGGAATTCTGCCCTGTAAACCAAGTGCATTCTTGGAAATGTGGCAAAGTGGTCAGCATTTCCACAATATATGCTGCATTACCTGGATTGAACTCCCGCTGAGGGTGCTTATGAGATCTAGGTGAGGTCTAACTGCAGTCAACCCTGGCTGAGAATACCTTCTGAGAAGCAAGGGTACATAACATTCAATGGAAGCGTGAGGCCTAGTGATATCATTGTGGAATAATTTAGCTATCAATCTTTCATGGTCTTATACGAAGACCATGAAGAGATTTGTAGCTCAATCTCACAAGAAGACACTGGCTGATTCACGTTGTACTGCAGTCATTTGGCATTAACACGACGTTCAGGTTAATGCAATCCACGAGATATCCTCCAACGTTTCGGGCGAATACGAGCTGAGCCTTCGTTCGTCATATAGCGAATATCGTCAGAGTAATAACTTTATCGAAATTGGTTAACTAGGCGAAAGATAATGAAGAGTTGTGCTACATGTGATCTTAGGACAATGAAAGTGTCAACTGGAGGACGACACAAGTAGGAATACCTGCAAATATGCCACGATAGCATCCAGAAGCATCAATAGAGAGTATTGATAAATCTTACAGTTGCCCAAGATAGTTACATTTTCAAGATCTCAGACAAAAATGCTGGATAAACGTTGATCTAGCTTAAATAACGAATAGTGTTTATCAAGAATTCACCATCGCAAATAAAGAGGTCATAAATTGGCCCATGAAGTCATCAGCTGT